ACAATAGTTATAACAACCATTTTATTTCATTTATTTTATTTGACATCAAACAGTCCAGAGGTTAAAAAAATGAAACCCTGTTTTACATGTTCGTTAATCCTATTTAAAATTTCATTTTACTTTATGGTACAAATATTTTGAATACGTTCGTGAAATGAAGGTCAGGGATATGGATATTGAAGATTGTAAACATCTTGAGGTGCATTAGTTATAAAGGCGTATTGTACATGCTATAATGTGTGTTGGTGAAATTAAGTTGTGTTATTAGGAATCATAAGATGTCCACACTGTCAAATGTTGTGTGATAAATTTGTATGCACCATAACACGAATGTGTCCGTAACCCCTCTTATAATTTTTGTTGATAACAGTAGTTATAAAAACCATAACATGTGATGATGGTGATGATGCTGATAATAATCAAATAATTTGTATTATCACTAATATAAATGTTTATAAAAATAAAATGCCGTTTACTGAGAAACACATTATGCTCATCAGTTAAAACAAAATAATATAAAAGCTATTATTAAAATTAACATAAAAAAAAAATTAAAATAAATTCATAACAAGTATAACATTATGAATGATGATGTGGGTACTAATATTATTTTAATATTTCAGTATTATTAGTTTTATTATGACAATAAAAATAATAAACTTCATAATAAAATAATATTAATAACAATTATTACCTAATCAATCATTACTTAATCAATTAACTTAACAATATTTGCAAAGTTATAAAGTCAAGATTTAAATAATATTTACTTAAAAACTAATAATGCAAATAGAAAAAAAACTGATGTATTTAGTAAGGGAGTACAAAATCAATTTGCCATATGCATTAATATATTAAGTGTGACAACAACGAGTATCTGTTAAAGAAAACGTTCCAGATGATGATTTAACTAGTTTTCAATATGGATGGCCTCAAATTCACAAGAAAAAAATTATGGGATGTTGTGATGACTAAGTCAAAAATAATGTTTGGCCTTCATATGTCTAACTGTTAAAAACCCACATTTTTTTGCTATTCAAGTTTTTCGCAATGCGAGAGTTTGTATTGGGTGTGGCTGTACAACTGGTATTTATTGAACTGAAATGGACATTTCTGGAGTGTCAATCAAACTTCAACAACCGACCAATCAGAACGGTATGCACATGTTTCACAAACACATGTGTTGTCCCACAAACACGTGTGTACTATGCAGGGGCAGATTTAGGGGGGGGGGGGGGGGGCCAGGTCCCCCCCCCCCCCCCACCNNAGGAAAAAAAAAAAAAAAAAAAAAAAAGAAAGAAAGAAAAAGAAAAAATTGATCGCTAAAAACGTCTCAGAGGTTATTTTCGGCCGTTTACAACACAACAATTTTGCGGGGGAATGTCCCCGGACCCCCTAGGGTAGCATTATCTCTGTCGGCCCCACTTTGCCCCCCCCCCTTTTGGACATTTCTGGATCCGCCCCTGCTACGTATATTTATGCTATCTTTTTGTCAGACCTTAACAATAATGTTGAAAGGGGTGGGCCTTAGCGGAAACATCTATTCTGAGAGTGATAAAAAAAAAATCCTATCCATACAGGGCTTGAATTCCCAATCTAATCTACTCCACAACAGTCGGGTGCTATTATGTTGTAAAAAAGTCACAAGCTAAGAATGCTTATGTTGATATCTACATTTGGGTTTTAGTTAAATCCATAAAAACATTATTCATAAATTGTGTTAAAAATATTATTTAAAAAGTACTTCATTCATAGCAATATACAGTATATTAACATCAGTTGTCATTTTTTTCTTCAATGATATAAACATAAGTAAGTTTTTATCATTTTTTTTTCAGTATGTTCTCATCTTCAAACTATAAATATTTAATAACTTATCTAAAGATTTGGTTTTAGTTTATCATCAAACATAACTAAAAGCTGAAAAGTAAACAGGAACAAATGACTACAATAAATATACAAAAGAACAATTTCATACTATAACCTTAAAGTACTTGTAAATATTTTACATCCCACCCTACCAAAGTTTGTGATGAATATATATGATATGCCCATATTTGGGTGGTAACATGACATCATCATGCCCATATATAGGCATATCACACAACATTTGACCGTGTGGACATCTTATGATTCCTAATAACACAACTTAATTTCACCAACACACATTATAGCATGTACAATACGCCTTTATAAGTAATGCACCTCAAGATGTTTACAATCTTCAATATCCATATCCCTGACCTTCATTTCAAGAACGTATTCAAAATATTTGTACCATAAAGTAAAATGAAATTTTAAATAGGATTAACGAACATGTAAAACAGGGTTTCATTTTTCTCCCATCACCATGAAACGCGTGGAATTTTGTAACATGGAGCACGCATGTTAAGCTGACACATCCCCCTGAGATATGTGACAACATTCATGAAGTGCAAAATATTTTCTGGGCATGCTTCTAGGTATACAAAATAAAATGTGGAATAAGTAAGTGGGACTAAGGCCTATTTCTGCTACTACAGTTGTCAACTTAAGAACATCAGACGTTCACCAAAAAATATATCATCAAATGAAGACAAAATTAGGACGATTAAAATATCACGATTCTAGATCTACGCAAAGAATATAGAACCAGTTTATGTGTCGTTTTAACGGCGAGAAAATAGTTTCTTATAATAATTTTCAATTGAAGGCTAATAACTCATTTAAATGTAAAATTAGTGTGAATTTTGTTACATAAATGTGTCTCATTCTAATTTTCTATTGAAAACTATACATTTTCTTATATATTAATTATAACAGTGTTTTTTGTTATATTTAGGATTGTATGATTTCAATGTACTTATTATACGTAATTTGTGTCTTAACTCTTTTTTAATAACTTTTCTCTTAACCAGGAGGCATATGACTAATGTTTACAAACTAACATTCCTCCTTGCACACTTTTGTAATTTTTTCCCTTATGTTTACCCCTTACTTGTGCTACATATACCTTTTGAATTACCTATTTCAATTATCTTTTTTTCTACTAGCATTGTGAGACTATCTGTGTAAGAGTGCTTAATAAATATTCAAATTATTATTATTATTCTTATAAATTTATTTTAAGTGTAGAAAATTGAACAAACTGAACTGAAATGAACTGATAAAGAAATAATAGTGATTGACACAATAACAGCATTTCTCAAAGTGGACATTATGAGTACTACTAAATATATTACCGTGTAAATGCTACTGAATGCTAATTAGCTTTATTATATACTTCTTTGTATACAATACTTAACTTGTTTATTTATTTATTTATTTACAATATTTTGAGTGGATGATCCTTACAGTGCATGTCTGATGTTCAGGGGCCACTAACCAGATTAACTCATACACTGAAATCCTACAGAAAATTACTGGCTCTAAAACCATTATCACACTATTGGTTACTCGCGGTCTAAAATAACTTGGGTGAAAATTTCTGACCATCCGACAAACACATATGCAATCTACATGAGCACTGAAAACAAGTGCGTTGAGCTGAATGACGAATGTACATCTGGTTATTCCGGCTGACAAGTGTTGAGTACGTTCTTAACGACCATGTGTTAAACTTCGCTATGTAATAACGTTAAAGTTGTGGACACTTTTGACCACACCATCTGGAAGTGATTATCATTATTATTATTTATCATTATTCTGCGTCGATCCTATGGGAATGGCGAGACAGGCAGGAAATTGGGTATTCCCACACACATACACAGTCTGCCTAGAAGGTACTGCACGAGTGTTAAGGAAGGCCTTTACACTGGCAGACCCTTTGGGAATAAGGCTTGAAAACTAGTACCCAACCCCCTATCCACACAGAGTTTACCAGGCTGGAACAAGTGTTTAGAAACTGGCATTTTTCTGGACATGAGGCTAGAAGTATCATTTTATCGCAACACCAATCTCCACAACCCTTCCCCAACATATTCTTTAAAATATACTACAAATATAAGAATCTGGTATTTAAAATTTCTATAGGGAAGGGCCTATACACTAGCAGATTCTTGGAAACATGGTTTAAACTAGTACTATTACAATTCCCCAGGGGTCCCAAGTCTCCCGGGAGTTGTGGGAGTCTCCCAGGAAACGGGACAGCCTCTCACACTTCCGCAAGCAAGAAAGAATCTCCCGGAGAATAACCTTTCATCCGCAAATTCATGATATTTGCATATTTTTACTACTTTAATATCAAATGTCTCACCGATGTGCTGGTGGGTAATCACCTTGCACAGTAAAATAAAATTTAATATGCTAAGAAAGCTCACATTTAACCAGATCTCCCAGAATATATTCCTT